GAGTTCATTATACACTGCTGGTGCAAACAGTTATTCACATATCGGAAAGATGGTTGTATAGACATGTAGGAGACATCGGTCAATTATCATTTACGTTCGTCAACGGTTGAGCAAATGGTAAGCGAAAATGCCGCATGGTAAGCTCCGTTTGGATTGGCCATTTACTATTTACCCAAAATACCCAAGTTACCGAAAGAGACAAAAGACGAGTTCGACCTGATCATTATTCCAACATGATGGTGGAGAATTGCAAATAGTAAGCACATTTTTCACTCGGATATTTTGGCTGAAAATTTTGGACTCCCTTCACAGGGGTTGCGTTTATTTCGGAAATTTTTCGGTTGGTCGAGCCAAAATTGTCTTATCATTTACATTCTGATCGAAATTTCCGGAATTTTTGGGTAAATTGTAAACAACCGTTTAAGCTTTAGTTTGACTGATGAGATTTAATAGAAGCCAAAAGGTTAATCAAGGAGCCCTACAAATTGAATTCTCTATTTTCCAATTGCCGTAATTCACGCTGTTTGCCCCCCAAATTTTGCATAAACTATTGTTGTGAAATGCTCTTGGGAATATGCGGGCCTCCCAAAAGCATTTCACAACAATATTTTATGCAAATTTGGGGGGCAAACAGCGTGAATTATGGGCAATTAGAAAATAGAGAATGTAGTAAGGGACAGAAGTTGGTAAAGCGTGTTACCTTTGGGCGTGGCAGGTGACACTAAGGTGTTGTCCAGAAGAGAAGCGGAAACAGACAACAGGTCGCCACTCTTACGCTTTGTACGGAACAGAGGGGACTCTGGGGAGAGCAAGTCACTGAGGTCTGAGTCCTTGAGTTTGCGGCGTTTCCTCTTTCGACTGCCAACTGGTGTGATTTGCTGGGAGGTGGTCACAGAGGGGTCCTGGTAATAGATACAACAGGACAATAACCTATCAAATGACACTTCCAGGTGAAACAGCTTCATAGTTCAGTGTATGTGTGGGTGCAATCAAATCGCTGTCAACAGGACGGTTTTAGCATTTCAGGGTTGCTTTTAAATGCTCCCTGGTCAAAGTTACAAAGTTACAACTTGCTAAGACCACAACTAAGGGTCAGATTTGAGGAAATGTTCTTTAAACAGCATAATTGCTCCTCTTTGAAACTTTTCTCCAAAAGTCAACACTCAAGTCAGTAAAGCAACTTAACATACATGTACAAGGTAGCTCAAGCTCATCTGAGGATGAAACTTTTCTTGTAGAAATGAATTTGCGATTTTAAAGAAAAATAAATTTTGTCACTTGTGGGAGTAACCAATGTTTTTGAAGTAATGTTCAATTACT